TTAATAACAGCCTGTTCACTCGGCTGCATTCAAATTGGTTATTTGTGACTATAGATAGCCTGGTTCACCTTGCGTGCTGAAGAAAAGCTCCGTGTACATTTTTATAAACCGATTGCAAATTGAAACGAGCTTTTTTTTGGTTTAACCTCCATCAAAAATGCAGCATCTGTGAAGGCGTGCTGTTTTGGCGGAGTTTGCTGAAAAAAATTCTTTGTATTTTGCACTTGACTCATTATTGAAGTTTCCAAAAAAATTGATTTAATCCTTTGCTCCTAACTTGTGGAACAAAAATAGATGCTATCTTTATGATATCTTCTACCCAAACAGCCAAATTTTATCGACGTATGACGGCAAAAAGAGATGCGTAGGCATGATGCGTTCCAACTACAGCAGTGACTGGAAGGGCCGCTGGTTCATATTCCACGGAGTGTGCTGCCAATTTTTTGGGTAATGTAACCTCAAAACTTTTTGATGCCACTAATGTTGGGATTTTGCATTTGGGGAAAAACTTGTGACTTGTTGCCAGCAATTAACGAATGTGAGCTGGACACTCTGATCACAACTCTCAAGTTCAACAAGCACAGAAGTTTTTTATGAGGACATTCCGATGCCATATAAATACTTGCCGAGTTAGATATGCCGACAGGGATAACTACCGAAATGTATTTTGCAAGAATAAAATCAAATCCACCCCAGAATTATTTTTAAACAGATTTATAATGAACTACTTGAACTATTTGTTTTTTCATTTTTATTTGCTTCTAATTTAACTGTTTTCTAGATTGGCATATTTTGGTCCTGTACGCATTATGCAATGTTGGTACTAAAATTAGGCCGACTCATTCAATATGACGGCACTTTCATGCAAAAACAAAACTGGGAATAAGGGTCTAAAATTGGCGTATTTTGGTTCTGTACGCAATGTGCAATGTTGATCCTAAAATTAGGCCGACTCATTCAATATGACGGCCCTTTCATACAAAAACTAAACTGGATAAAGCGTGTAAAAACTGATGAAATGACAAATTAAAGTTACTTTCGAAAACACAAAATTATTCATGAAAATAATCCATTATCAAACTGTTCTGATCGCTTCTGAGTTGTTCGCTAAGTGAAAATACTAAGATCAAGGTAAAAATGAAAAACAAAATCAAACTGAAAAGAACTGATGAATTAGTGTACAAATTGCTAGAGTTTATTACAAAATTGGCACAATTTGTTTGTTCAGTTGGCAGGAACTGAGGTCGATGAATTAGCTTACTTCAATTCAATCAGTTGGCAGGAACTGAAAACGAGGTTGGGGGTAAGTTGACAAGAATTGCGATCGAAATTTGAGTTTGCTTAACTGTTAGCAGTTATTCAGTTGGGACTTGCTGGTGACCACCTAGTAAATACAAGTTTTAAAAGAAAACGTTTCTCGTAGGTAAACTCCTGTTAAATTAAGGATTTGAATTCAAGCGCCAAAAAATGTGTATCTGGAATCTACAAACAAAATGAGGATTCCACCAACAAATGACGGATTTTGCTTTTAATTTCGAATTCTGCGTAAAGTTGAGGATTCCGCAACATCTTTATTTTACTATACACACGTTTTACTCTTTGGTTGAATTTTCCACAAATGATTCCGGCTTCTACAAATTCTGTGTCGGATTCCGTAATCTTGCTCATGTTCGAAAGGAATTGGAGCGGTACAGTGTACCAAAACAGCAAAAAAGATCAAACAAAAGTAGTAAGGTTGCAAAATCCGGGATAAAAGTGATTTCGGCCGTAGAACCCGCTGAAAACTCCCAAAATGTCCAAATTGGCCTCGTATTGTTCCAAAATTGGCTTTTATGACCTCTTTTTTAAGCAATTTTTACAACAAAAATATCAAAATGAAATGGAGCTCACTTCTTTTTGCTGTTGTTTTCTTGATATGTCTTTTTTCAGTAAGAGTTCTTTTACGAAGTAAAAATGTAAAACAACTAAAACTGATGAAAGTAAAGTAGCATTGTTTAAAATCGCATTGACATCAACTAAACAACAAAAACAAAACAAACATTGATAGCTGGTTTTTATTGTTTTAAAAAAAATTTCGAATTTTTGTTCCATTTTTTTTGGAATGGTGTGATAAAAACGGCTGAACAAAAAATGGGGATAAGGTATATTCGACAGACATACTAAAATAAGCAAACTAGAAAAAATAATAATAATATAAAAAAAAATTGATTGCAAAAAGGGGCTTAAAAACTCAACGTTAATTAAGATTATCCAAATAAGACTAAATTTAAACAAAGCTTTCAAGCCAATAAAAACACCGCAGGTTCGTTTTGTACGCATGTTTTTAAATATTTTTTTTTCACGACACTGGGAAAAAGCTTCTTATAAATTTTTGAAATTTGGCTCGAATCTCGTATGTAAGGGCTTTACAAAGAGATATCAATCAAATCATTGCAATCCGTACTTGATTTTGCGTAATAAACAAAAAAAAGTAAAACAGACCCGAACACAAAGTTTTTTCCCATTTTTCAATGGTCAGAACAAAATTAGTCCCAATTTTTTGAAATTAGTACTTGTAACGAATTTCTACACTAGTAAACACGTATTATCAGGTGATAATTTATTTGGGCTCGTAAATCAATCCAAAAAAAGTGATGCTCTCAAGCAATTTGGTTTCACTAAGGTATTTTAAGAAATAAAAAATTTGGTGTTGGAACTACAAACAGGAAAAAAATTTCAAAAAAAGAAAGAAAAAAATTCGTTTTTTTTTCTGAAAATCTTTGTTTTAAAGAATTAAACGAGTGGCGTTAAAGCAAAACTGTTTAAAATTTAACATTTCTGGAAGTTTTTTTAAGCCATTGAAGAATTGTGACCGCAATCGCACTCAAAAAAAAGAATTAAGATCAATTTGGGTGACAAACAAGGATCTAGAGCAAAAAACATTGATTTGAACTGATTTAAATTATTCTTATTCCGTTGCCATAATAGTTAGTTTTTGTAGATTTTAAATTGATTTGTTATTATGTTTTCAATTTTTTAGGGTTATTTCTAAGTCGATCGATATCGCTTAAACCAAACTAAAAATTTTTTCAAAATCGGATTTGATACCCGTGTTGACCTCCATCCACCGAAAACGCTTAGCATACAATTTTATACGAAAAAAACTGGAGTACAATCACATGCATCAATTGTACGGAAAAAGGCTTATCAATCAATTTCCATTTGAAAAAATTGTAAACAAAAAAGTATTTATTCCATAAACAATTCTGATCAAAAAAATTTCAAAATTCCAAAAGTGCAATATGACAGAAAAAGAAGTCAGTTTAAATGAGCTTCAAAAATTTGAGAGCATTAATTTTTAATCATTTTTTGGAAAAATTGTTTGTCATACAATTCCCCCATATATGAAAACTATGTGATAGGCAATTTTGATTGCGACGCAAAAAAGTTTTCAAGTTATTTCTAAATTGTCCCAAAAACTTTTCGTTTTTTTTTAAAGCCAACACCAACTATGCACTTCACACCATTTTTCGACGTTTTGTGCACGTTAGAGTTGAGAAAACCAAGTTCAATAATTTTTGTGTTTGTTTACGAACGCATCCCAATAAATTTCAGACTTAGTGTAAAAAACCAAGTTTTTTAATTCATCGAAAAAAAATATCGTACAATTTTCTTATATCGAAAATTGCTTGTAAAAGATTTTTCATCAATTTTCTGTACGTATGAAACTCTATGGAATTGTGTGCTTTGAAGTTTTTAAATTACGGAAATTTGTATCATAATACGTTTTGGTCAACCCGGGTAGTTTCGATTCAAATTAGTGAGTTACTACTTATTATATTGGAGTTAGTCACTGGCTTCTGTTTTTGAATAATTATGGCGGTTTTTGATCCCGGGTTAACTTGTTTCATTAGCAACCCTTCAGCATGAAAATAATGTCTTAAATTTAATTCGATATCGTAGAAATTATTTAGTTAAAAATAATTTGCTAAAGATAAAACGATTCTCAAACAGAAAGACTAATCTTTTTTTGACATTAGGAACCGTTTAAAATTTTTGTAGATTATAAAAAAAGTAGTAGCTTTGTATGATCAATTTTTACATCATAATAAATTTATAATTATCATTTTAAATCGATCCTAAACCGTTTTTTCAGTGCTGCGCGCATTTCATTGTCGGATTTTGAGAGCACAAACTTTGAACACAAATGTATTTGAAGTGCGCAAACAAAATACAGCAGGTTAATCAAACCAGAACAACTCAAACCCTTATACCTTCAGCGAAAAACATTTGTTTTTTCATTTTCTTCGATTGTCGAACAAAACAGTGGAAGAAGTTTTGAAATATGTTTTCTTGCATTTTCGAATCACGGTAAGAAAATGTGTGGATTTAAGTATTTTAGATCAGAAAAAGGGCTGGTATTTGGTTTAAAATACATGGTTACAAAAAATATTATTATTTTTTGACAGCCTGTCCAGTTATTTTGCCAGCAATAGGAGCCAACCAACAATGGAAGTGTACAACCCTAGTAGATTAGAAGGATACTATAACATTCGTTATAGATCATATCAACAGACCACTCTGCCTCAAATCAATCGAATAAAAGGGCTATTTTTCTTATCTTCTTAAACGTTGCATTTGGCTAATTTCATTTTATACTATTGAAGTATGAGTTGCCGAGGGGATGGAGAACAGATCGTTTATAAGGGAATAATGATTCTTTTTCTTAAAATTGGGCGCCTGTCTTTTTGTCAATAAAATAGAAATTCTTGGATGTATATCGAAAAAACTAATCCCCATGAAGCTTCATTGTGTTTGTAGCGGATTTTTTTTCCCTTCAGGTACTTATTTTTTTAAGTTTGTTGATGCTCTCATTTTTCTTAGTATTCAAAAAAGGTAAAATTTGAGATATTGGGTCTTATCTTTCCGCATTGCTTAAACCAAAAAATTAATTTAAAAAAGGATGAAAACTGATGAAAAAAAGGACGAAAAATGATGAAGTTGTCTTTGGAGAAAAAACTGAAAAATAGCCCATTGAAGATAATGCGAGAGACGAATGTGACAGGGTCTTCAGGCCTATTTACAAACACCACAATTTCTTCTTCCTGCTAGAGGGTTGTTGCGAAGGTCTTAAACAGTGGCTTTAAATTATACCCGATAAAACTAAACGCAGAATTTGTAGTCACTCATAACTTGCTGATCATAGGTGAATTAATCTATTCTATGTCTCAAAAAAACCCGCACAGTGTATGGGAAATTTTGATTCTATTTTTAACCGCAACATCAATTATTATTTTAGTGATATTTTTGCGAAGTCAAGCCTTAAAAGTTTCAACGTTTTTTGGTAAATTAAATCAAGTTTTTTCAAAAACAAAAAACAGGACATATTTTATTACTAGTGAAATATTTGATGAAAAGTTATTGGTCATTGTGTTTGTGGAAAAGAAGCACAAAAATATCTAGCAACAATATAAGAACAATGATTTTAACTCTTACGTAGACGAAAAATGCCCAGAATTTTTTCTTGTATGGGAAAATGCTAGTCATAGAAATTACAATTAAATTTCTGGAGGTATATGGAAATAGATGACAAGCTGATTTTTTACATATGGAAGTTGTATGATTACAAGTTTTGTTAGATATGTGTTAGAAATTTCATTTTGTTTGAAGAAGTCAGTGAGCAAAACAATTTGCCTCAAAACATGACATCGTGGATGCATTGATTGCATTGACGGGGAAAGTAGATAAATGAAATGTTGAAAAAAGTAGGATTGACAAAAAACTAAAGTAATATTTACAAAAGTAATTAAAAATCATTTGAATTTTTTTCATAAAGTTGTCTGACTCTAAGCCCTCTCCAAAAAAAAGTTGGGCACTCGAACCAATTTTTAAAAAAATTTCATCTGAAATTTTGTTCAGCTTCAATCAATTGAAAGCCACTTGCTTAGGGCAATTCAATGATTACTATTCTAATGGTTATTTTGACGCGTCTTTGACACCTGGACTCTACTTAGAAAAACTGACAGACTACGGAACTCGAAACAAAATTTTGAACCATATATGGTCCTTCTACATGCACGATTGTGGTGTGAATGTAATATATAGACTTGGTTTTGGGACAGGCGATTTAAAAAGGGTCGACTTTCAATCGCAATCAATTAAATAAAAAGTTTTTGAGGCTATGAAAAAGGCCATAAATGAAAAATGAGCCTAGCGATACGAGTGTGTGTCTATTAGCAAGCAGCAATGGCTCTGATAAGGTTTCAAATCGGAACACAAAACATTCTCAATTTTCATTTGTTTTACAAATCCCGTATTGACTATCTTTCAAAACTTTCTCTATTATAGCAATCATTATAAATTAACAAGTGAATTTCCCCTTCTTACAACAGCGAATCTTAAACAAAGTTTCATAAAAACAACGCGAAATTAGCAAAAAAAAATTAAAAAAACAACTCAAGCTTGGCTACTTAGTTTCTCTTAGTGTCTTTTGAATTGCTTATAAAAAATTTCAACTAAAAAGCTAAAAAATTTTCTGAAAAAGAGTTTTGAATAAGAACCATTTTTTTCTGTTAAAAAGAATTACTATCTTATGAAAAAAGTTTTTCGAAAAAAGTTCCCTGTCTTGTATTATTCTTAGAGTCTAATTTTTAAAGAAATTGTAAGATTCTTAAATAAAAAATTCTGAAATAACATTGTTTGGTCCATCAAAACCATTTAATTTGTTAGAATATAAAAATTATATTTATACATTTTGGATAATTAGCGAAGGACACACTCTTCGAAAGTATAAATATAACGAAACAGTTTTTCAAAAAGTGAGTGATTCAAGTGGTTTCTTTTATATGGGCATGATAGTGACCCAAATGATTCTATGCTCGTTTCTAGTAATTTAATACTAATATATAATGAGAAAAAAATTCGAAAACGCGAGTGATTCAACAGCTTTTTTTACTTGGGCATGCTTGTAACCCACGTGTTCATAGGCTCGTTGCCAATAAAATGACACCAAAATAGCAAAACAAAATGAATGGCCTTTTACTGGATTGCTGAAGTTAATAAGCAGGAAATACTCTGCATGTGAATTTTAACACTCGTGACATTTTTTGGAGGAAACAAAGCGGCGGGTCACCGAGTTGTTGAAACCTAGCAATTAGATAAAAACGACATACCTTTCTGCTAACCATTCAAAGAAGAAGACATCTTATACATTTCCAGTTCGACGGAAAACTAAGCAACTCAAAAGTATATGCTGCTAACTGATAAAGAACCCCGTTTTTTAGCAGGAGAAAGCAGGTTTCAAAAATCTGTTGAAATCTTTCCTCATTTTTTTGTTTTGTAAAGTTTTTCTTCGGTTGAAGGATTTGAAAACAATAAACCAATGTGTACCATGAACATCAAAAAATCATGCGTTCACTGACTAAGTTTTTGTACAATATAATGTATAGAACCAACTGTAACCAAAAACTTCCGTCCTTTTATTTTTGAGATATTACTAAGAGTACAGAAAAATCTTTGAATTTAAACTAATACATGTTTACGGAAAAATTCAGAAAAGATTTTAATACTAGTTGAATAGATGTAAAATTTTGAAAAAAGAGCCTGGGTTTAATTAAGCGAGCGAGCTTTTAGTGGCTGAATGCTTTTCAAAGTTTTCTTATTAGGTATCAGGTAAATCATGCGCAAAAATTAAGAAAATTTGATGAACAAACTTTATTGAAAAAAAAAAACATTTCAACTCAAGGAACTTTTTTATTTGATTGAAATTTTTTTCTTCGAAGAGTCCATCATCAAGATGCAACTCGTGAACAAATAATTGGTGCACCCTACATGCTGAAAGTTGGAAGAGATTGGACGCCACAAATTCCATATGAAAACCCGGAACATTTCATCACATTTAAATGGTTCAAGATAAACATAATTTGTGCAGACCAACCATGGATCTGCAGCTCAGATGCAAGAAAAACTACATGGTGGGAATATATATTCGGCAGAGAAAAACCGAGTTTTGACTTCCCAACTTAATGTTTTTCGCAGATTATTGACCAAAATTCTTCTTCAAAAAAAACTTGTTGGAATGAAATCAACTGTATGCCTTTAATATATTCTGGAGAAACCAATATTTATTCAACTACTGCAAATGTCATTTCTGCATTTTTTTAATTTGTCTTTTTCCGAATTTTGATGAAAACAACGAGTTGTTGACTGCCAAGTTGAAAAGAAAGCCAATGTTGATTTCCGTTTAGAATCAAAATATGAAGAACATTTTTGACACAAATCATAGCGTAATCTCAAAACCAAAACAATAGTTACCTGTTTTCTTAGGAAGTTGTGAAGATTTAAAAATTGCCAGTTTGGCCTCATTGGATTCCGATTGAATGCAAAAGCTTCATTTTTCTATAACCTGTTTCTATTTTTTTTTCAGGCACGCTTTTTAGCCAACTAGTGCATGCTAATTTCAATCCAACATTTTCTTTTCAGATTTTTTCGTTTCTGAATTTCTTATAGGAGTCTTTGACAATAACTATGTCATCTGATCAATTTTTTTGTCTCTTCTAAAACGAGCTCATCAGAAAAAGAGTTAGCACATGCTATATTTTGAAGTTTTCGAAGAGTAGATTCCCGGAATATTTCAGCCATTTCAACAATTCCAGAGAATTATTGTTTTGCAGACCAATTTTGTTTTGTAGTTTAGATACTAGAAAATTTTCATTCTTGGAAACCCTTTTTGTTTTTCTATTAAATTGTACAAAATCTATTTTCAAATAAAAAACTGAAACTAATTGAGTCTTAAATCTTTGTTATATTCAAGAGATTAAACATTCTCAGCCCTCTACTCGCGTGCACATACCTCTTTTTCGCCTCCAGGTTATCAAATCATATGTTTGCAAATATGTTTTGGCATTTTTTGAAAGGTCGAAAGAAATGATGTTTTGTGCTTTGTTTATTTCAATTAAACGTAAATATCACAAAATTAACCTTGATTGAGAATAATACCAAATTAATTTGTCTACCATGATTACAGTCTGCAGAATCTTTTCAGTTTTTTGAAGTCATTGATGATAATTCATTTATGATAATCACAAATTCATATTCTGGACTAAGTATGATATTTGCGAGCAAAATCTGGCCCTATCACATGTTCGTTGCGATCTGAATATTAAGTCTAAATCTAGGTCATTATAGCCTAAAAATTACTCGCCATGCAATCTGAAAGTTAGTCGCCGAAGCCTGAGAATAAGTCGCATCAGCAAAATTAAATATTGAGGACATGATACTCCAATAATACACACATTTTTGAAGTAAATGTCTGATCAAAATAAATTTGAATGATATTTGAGAAAGATTAAATTACTGCAGTTGCTAAGCAGTACGATTAAACTGGCGAAGTTACCACGATTTAGTCAAATGGTCTTTTTTAATTCTTCAAATTCTTAGAGACAAAAAATTGGGGGTTTAGCTTAGGGTATCATTAAGTTTTAGTCGGTTTTTGCCACTATGACTTCGAAGATTCAAAAAAAGCCATTTGACTAAATCGTATTACATTCTCCAGTTTAATAGTAGTGCTTAGCAACTGCAGTAATTTAACCTTTCTCAAATGACATTCCGATTTGTTTTGATCAAACATTTACTCTAAAAAATTGTGTGTTTTTGGAGTATCATGTCCTCAATAATTAATGTTGCTGATGCGATCTATTCTCAGACATTGGTTTCAAAATTCCGTTTCATGCCTTTTTTCCAGAAAAAAACACAATATTCCATCCTTTATTCAAAATATGGAACAAAAACTAGCCTAGCGATTCATTGACAAAGTTTTATGCTTTGTAGAGAGTAGTATTGTTTTTTCATATACATATTCATTTTGCGTCAGTCGTTGTTATAAAGCAAAATTATATAGTGTTCATCTGATAACAAAAAAAGAAACACATTATGAAAATAAAAAGCGTCCTTTCTGCATAACCCAAGAGCATTATCTTATGAGCATGATGCACATTTTTAAGCTTTTTGACGAATTCTTTTTGACGAAAATTAATTTTTGATTAATTGATTTCAATAGAAGAAACCTTGCTCAAAAACTGTTTTTTATATAAGATTGGACATCGGTAAAGACTGTACATGATGAATACTTAAAAGTGATATGACGCTCCCTGCTCGTAAGGCAATTGTAATAACTAGTTTTTTTTACTCGAGAGTGATGGCGTTGGCTCAGATGGTGTCAGCGTAAGTTTATACGAGGAGGAATTACTGGCAGTTACTGAAGTTTTTATAACGCAGTTGAAGGATTTGAAAACAATAAACCAATGTGTACTAAGAACATCAAAAATCATGCGTGCACTGACTAAGTTTTTGTACTATATAATGTATAGAACCAACTGTAACCGAAAACTTCCGTACTTTTATTTTTGAGATATTACTAAGAGTACAGAATAATCTTTGAATTTAAAGACTAATACAAGTTAAAGAAAAATTCAGAAGAGGTTTTAATACTAGTTGAATAGATGAAAAATTTTGAAAAAAGAGCCTTGGGTTTAATTAAGCGAGTGAGCTTTTAGTGGCTGAATGCTTTTCAAAATTTTCTTATTAGGTTTCAGGTAAATCATGCTCAAAAGTTAAGAAAATTTGATGAACAAACTTTATTGAAAAAAAAAAACATTTCAACTCAAGGAACTTTTTTATTTGATTGAAATTTTTTTCTTTGAAGAGTCCATCATCAAGATGCAACTCGTGAACAAATAATTGGTGCATCCTACATGCTGAAAGTTGGAAGAGATTGGACGCCACAAACTCCATATGAAAACCCGGAACATTTCATCACATTTAAATGGTTCAAGATAAACATAATTTGTGCAGACAAACTATGGATCTGCAGCTCAGATGCAAGAAAAACTACATGTTGGGAATATATATTCGGCAGAGAAAAACCGAGTTTTGACTTCCCAACTTAGTGTTTTTCGCAGAGTATTGACGAAAATTCTTCTTCAAAAAAAAACTTCTTCTTCTTCAAGAAATCAACTGTATGCCTTTAATATATTCTGGAGAAACCAATATATATTCAACTACTACAAATGTCATTTCTGCATTATTTTAACTTGTCTTTTTCCGAATTTTGATCTGATAACAAAAAAAGAAACACATTATGTGTTGTTTTAGTCTTTGAAATTAAAAAGCGTTTTTTCTGCATAAACCAAGAGCATTATCTTATGAGCATGATGCACATTTTTAAGCTTTTTGACGAATTCTTTTTGACAAAAATTATTTTTTGATTAATTGATTTCAATAGAAGAAACCTTGCTCAAAAACTGTTTTTTATATAAGATTGGACATCGGTAAAGACTGTACATGATGAATACTTAAAAGTGATATAACGCTCCCTGCTCGTAAGGCAATTGTAATAACTAGTTTTTTTGACTCGAGAGTGATGGCGTTGGCTCAGATGATGTCAGCGTAAGTTTATACGAGGAGGTATCACTGGCAGTTACTGAAGTTCTTAAAACGCGATCGACACAAAACATACTGCATGGTGTCCCAGCTGAAAAAGCTTGACGTAAAGGCGTCAAGTTGATTTGAGGTGTCTTCTTACGGGTGTGAGAGTACGAATTTTTAAAAACTAACCAGCGATGCAGACAGTTGAATTTTGATAACTGTGTAAAAAAGCCCCCATAGTGTAATACCGGTTGTTGGCTGCAGCCCCATTCGATACTTTGTGTACGAGAAGAGCAATTGCATAGAAAATCTTTTTTATTTTTCCGACAAAACTTGTACGGTTGTCTAAACAGAGCATGGAAAAAGTTCCAAACCTAGCAAGGAATCTTTTATCTCTCATTATGCAATCAGTTTTGCCACTGTTTTTATGGCAAAAAACACAACTAAGAAGAATTTTGCAGAAAACGATTTAAAAATGAGAATGTTGTAGCCAAATCTAACAAGACTGCTCGTAACAGGGCGAAGCCCTGAATGTTCCGACTGCCCTTTAAGGTTTATGGAGCAGTAATAACTTTAAAAAATTCAATGAAATAAAAAAATAAAATCTTTTTTCTTCTAAATTTTGAAATTTTTTATGAAAATCATCCTGCCACACGCCATACAAAGTACAAAAGGATAGATTTCGCTCCTTGTAACAAACCAATTGTGGCAAAAAAGCTTCTTTAACCAATTTGGAACGATTTCTAAGACGGATTAACTCTCCGCTTACGCGTTAATAGCGCGAAATATCGCGGTAATTGTTCCAAAATTGCAATCTTTAAACCCCCGTAACTTTACGAAAAATGATCACAGGTGAAATACCTTTTCAAATTTGAGCTCAGGACAACAATACCTTTCGAGAGATCAAAAAAAATTCCGTCAAAAATGGCTAGTTAAAAAGTCGAATTTTGTCTGAAGAAAAATAAAACCCACCCCGAGCACAAATATTCCGTTACTTTCGTATCGAAAGTCGGAACAATGAACCAAATTTAGATGAAAATCGGAAAATGATTATTGTTCCGACTTTCGATACGAAAGTAACGGAATATTTGTGCTCGGGGTGGGTTTTTTTTTCTTCAGACAAATTTCGACTTTTTAACTAGCCATTTTTGGCGGAATTTTAAATATCATTCGAAAGCTATGGTTGTTTTGAGCCTAAATTTGAAAAGATATTTTACCTGTGATCATTTTTTGTAAAGTTATGGGGGTTTAAAGATTGCCATTTTGGCCAATTTGGGACAATTAACGCGCGATATATTTCGCGCTATTAACGCGTAAGCGAATATTTAATCCGTCTTAGAAATCGTTCCAAATTGGTTGAAAGAAGCTTATTTGCCATAATTGATTGTTACTATGAGCTACATCTATTCGTTTGTACTTTATGTGGCGTGTGGGGGGATGACTTCATAAAAAAATTCAAATTTTAGAAAAAAAATTTTTTTATTTTTTTTTATTACATTTATTTTTTTTTGTTATTACTGCTCCATAAACCTTAAAAGGCAGTCGGAACATTCAGGGCTTTACCCTGATACGAGCAGTCTTGTATTTGTTTTTCTTTTTATTTATGCTTTGTTTTGGCTGAACTAATCCCAACCAAAAAAATGAAGTCTTTACCACTAGCTTCTATTTTTTATTAATTAAACATTTATGCATTAGTTCGTCGAAAAATGGAAAAAAATCTGCCAAAAGTAT